AAAAGATCTCCATTTCATTTTAGAATATACAGATTCATACAGAAAAATTCATTTTCAATGCAACTGGCATTAAGATGTTTGCACATGCATTTCTAATCTCTGTATACCAGATTACTACTAGTCACAGTTGGTTACTTTCTGGAGTTCGTGGCATCTGAGCATGGATATAAAGTTGTCAGGTAGATTTCAATGGTAATGTTTTTCACACCTACTAATTATTAAGGAGCAAATTTTTATGCTTTGAAGAATTATTTTTTAATCATTTTAAAAAAAATTTTTAATATCTACATGATTAGAAGAAGCATTTCACTACAGCTTTAACATATTCAGTAACACACTCCAGAGCAAGAGTACATCTCTTTCACAAGTGGCTGCAAGTTTCTAGGTTCACAGTTGAATTAATACAGTTATACAATATTGAACTCAGTATAAGCCCTGTAAGACATAAAATTGAATGAGTTTTTAATCTTTAAAAAAGATCTCCATTTCATTTTAGAATATATTGTTCCTTGCAGAAAGACTCATTGTTTTTGCTGCTAACACTAAGAAGTTGGCGCATGCATCTGTATGTATCTGATTATTACTAGTCATAATCGGTTGCGCTTGGATCCTTGGCACCTGTGTATGTCTATAAAGTCATCGGGTAGATTTCAATATTGTAGTTTATCACCTCTACTAATTAGCATGACATAAATTTCCATGCTTCCTCCTCAAATATAATACATTTTTAAAAAATTTGTTGGTTTGTGTGTGTATGTGTGTGTGTATCACACAGAACATCCCAAACCATCTTACCCACTTCCCAGATGGCACCCTCCCATAGCCTTCCTCCCCCGACTAGAGTCCTTTACTCTGATATCCCTGCTACGGTCTGCTGTGTTGTCGGCATCCCCAGCCATTCCCCACTACTTGCCCTTCTGGTGAATCTACTCAGCCTATCTAAAGGTCTTTGTTTTAGGAAGGTCAGCTGTTTCTCATCTAGCAGCAATCAGTTGTCAATATTCCTTCAGATAA